CCAGAACCACAGATGTGGGCCAGCTGCAGGCCCTTCTCAGGCAAACCTACTACAAAGGAGTAGTCCTGGCCTCCCTGTGCTCAGAGGAGGGCAGACCTGAAGAGCCAGGAGACCTCCTCCTCAAAGGCCCAGGTCTTAAGCAATGGAACGACGGGGTCAACGGGTTGCTTAGCAAGCTTTCTCCAAGTACAGCATTTCTTTAAACATGTCCCAGTAAAGTTTATCTGAAAGACTCACACAAGGAATGAAAATTCCTTCTCACATAAGGAAACACAAAAATAAAAGTCTACAACAGGAAACTGCTGCTAACCACACACATGGCTAGTGTCTACTGAACAAAACCCAAAGCACATATATATATCCCATCTGTAAATGACACCTTTTCCCCACAAGGCCCCTCCAAGCTTAGTGGCCCAGCGCCAGTGCTATCCCGTTTCCGGGGTCTCTCTGGCACTCCAAGAAAGGTTCAGCTGTCTTACTCTGAAAATACTCAAGCCAGTTGTGTTTTCACTACCTCCAGCCCACAGTTCCCTTCCTAAAAAGTGAGTCTGAAAAGCGAGTGGATTCTTTCCTATCTTCATCATATAGAGGGAAAAAAAACAATTCAATGTAAATTATCTAAAAATCTATCACCCAGAGGTGGCTACTAGGATTCTGATGTGTAACGTTACAGCATTCTTAGACAAATATGTTCACATAAACCCTTCATAAAAATGGGACCATCTTCTCCTACTGTTTGGTGGTCTGCCCTTCTCATCTAGCCACACAGCTACCGTTTTCCTACATCAGTAAGTCTGCAGCCGCGCCATCATTCTGCCAGCAGCACGCGACCCAACTGCATGGCTGCTCCCTTTGATTTTTTCTCAGCTGACTCCTGTTGGACTTTTAATGGCCTTGGGTATCTTACTACGACCCAGGAATGTAGTGATGATCTATATCCTTTGGGCAGCTGCCTGATTTTTTCCCCCTTAGGATAAATTCCCAGAAGTGGAAGGGTCAGCTGCTTTTAACGTTTTGGCTTTACACTGCCAAACTTCCCTGCTTAAGGGTCTGACAACTCATCCTGCCATCAGGAGCCCATGTCAGCTGTCCCTACACCCACAAGCGGGTGCAGAGCTGCTCCAGGATGTACACCGTCATCCGAGAAAGCTCTCTGCCCTCCCTGAGCACCCTGGACCCTACGATGCCCAAGACCGCAATACTCTGCCAACACAGACTGATCCCTCAAGTCTAGTGAGCTATAAACCACCACCACTCTGGGCTACGTGTCAGCTGTTCCTAATCTGTCCCATTTGGCTGAAAACCTAGCTTAAATTCCCACAGGCCCTTTTCACTATGTAAAATGTGGAGGAAAACCTATCTTGTGGCCAAATTTTAGGCAAATCTGTCAATAAACATGCTTGTACCCACACCCCATCCTCAAGACCCCTTCTCACCCCACAGTCAAACTCCAGCCCACCTCTCCTCCAAGCTGAGGTCTACACTGGTTTGCTGCCTCGAGCTTTGGTGGCTGTGGGACTGCAGATAAGGCAGAAGCCCTGAGAGGGACTTACATAGAAGTGAAAATGTAAGAAGTGGGCCAGCACTCTGGGGGCCACGTCAGGGAAGGCGGCCAGCAGGGTCTGCAGGTAGACCTCCAGATCCTTCTCTCTCTTCTCCACCAAGCTTCTCGAGTTTTTCCCAATTATCTTTTTGGGCGGAAGCAGATTTTTATCAATCTTCCTCTCTGCAACAAGCTGTTAAAAAAAAAAAAGAAAGAAAGAAACCCTAGAAGCATGCCAACTACAGACCAAGAGGTTCTTCGCCAAGACCTGAGGGCAGCCTTCACAACTTCCACAGCCCCTCTCGGCAAGAGTACCAAGTTTAGTGACAAAACTAGTTAGTGCATTTGGGATTTAGCCTCATCAGGTTCAATTAGTGTAAGAAATACCAACACAATTCCAGACAAGGGGCTCCATCTAGACACTGGATATTCAGAAAATATCTCCAGGCCCCTAAAATCACCATCTTTTGCAAACCAGAATGAAAACCAATCACGACGGTGGCCTGTCTTTAGAATACTCCTGATGCAAATGACCCAGAGAAAAGCAGCTCTCTCAAAAAGCAAATAAAGATATAGAACCACAGCCTGATTAACTAAAGTGCAGGCACTGGACTAGGCTAGTCAGGTAGAGCAAGTTCAAACCTGTCTTCTATAGGAAACTGTCCCAGCATCTGACATCCTAGCTAAGACTGGCAATCTTAAAACTGAGGTTCAAATATGCTCCTCAAATACTGTCTCATGCTAGAGTTGAACTCCCAGGATCCACCAGTTTGTTTGGGGTTTTTTTGCCAGTAACATTAATAAACTGGTTTACTGAAAGGCACTACAGGCATGGAGCCTGTATTGCCCTAAAATAAATGCATTGCACAATGAAATTTGGCCTAAAAGCCCCCAAGCCCTGAGACACAGATCCCCAGCTCTCGAGAGTTACCTTTTCATGCAGGTCATGGAAATCACTGTAGCGGTGCTTGACTGTCCATTCATGGCTGCCATCAGTTATCCGGACGATGTAAACCTAAAGGGAAAACCCACAACCCTTGCCCAGCCAGCAAAAAGGGAAGCCCTGCCCTCCACCCTCAACTCAGCAACATACCCTCCCACCCCAAGGTCAGTCAGACTGACCTTGCCCACCAGCCTCTGCCCCTGACCCTTGGTGAGCAGCAGGGCCCCTTCCTGGCCTCCTCCATGGCCCTAACACTGGATGTGGCAGACTCACAGGATAAGTCTGTGGCTCTGTCCAACAATGAGGTACAGAAAAGTTGACTATCTTATCAAGCCACCTCATTTTTTTTTCATCTCCAGCCTCCAGGTAAGTTAAAACCCAATCTGTAGGCAAGGGCACCCCTTCCAAGGGAGGCAAAACAGGGCCTGAAAGTCTGGCAGGACCAGCTTCTGCTACATTTTTTTTCCTATGTGCCTTGACTATACTCTGGAACCAAGTCCTTTTCCAACGCTTTTAGCTGGTTCTTGGCTAGGATGGATTTCTGCTACTGAACCAGGAGTCAAGGCACTAAAAAGATGATAGGAGGGCAAGGGAAGGGCAACAATGGACCAGCGAAGCCCTGACAGAAGGCAAACAAGGCTTAGCGGCTAAAGGAATGGACCTGGAAATTGAGGAAGACCTAGGTTCAAAGCTTGGTTCTGCCATTTCCTCCTGGCTGTGGCTCAGGTTGAGTTATTTATGTTAGTGACTAAAAGCTTAAGCTCCCCCTGAGCCTAAATTCTTGCATGTTAAACCTGGTAGGTTTAAGAATCAAATATTATAATACATGCAAAATACTTCATACATGCCTGCCATGTAGCAAGCAATCAACAAAACGTGTGTTCATTAACATTCAACTCGGCACACCTGGACACCAAACGGTCAGGTCAGCCTGGATCGCCACCTCTCCCACGCCCATTCGGGGGAGGGGCTCAGTCCTGGGGAATAACGAAGCTTTTTAGAGCTGATCCTCCGGCTGAATGCAGCCCAAGGGTGACGGCTGACCAGCCAGCCAGCTATCATCAGTTCAGAGACCTCACCTGCAAGAGGCCCCCTGGTCCTAGTGTCCCGCCCCTCTCTGCAGCATGCATGGGAGGAGGAGGAGAAAGAATCAACTCAGCTGAAGCCTCCATGGAGGCGCAGCCATTTCTCCAGTCCTGGCCTGTGGCTCCAGGACCCACCCCCAATCCCTCTTCCCAGCCTGGTGGCTCCTGTCCTCCAGGAAAGCCCAGAGTTATTACCCTGGCGGGTGGTTAGGATGAAGGCCAAGGGGGTGGGGCAAAGAAAGGGCCAAAGCCCCCCACCCACTCACCCTCCGGGAACAAAGGACAGGAGGCTGGCAGGTGCCCAGTAGGCAGCCACCCCAGGACCAGTCCTAGCCAGGCAGTCTAGAGGCCCACAGGCCTGGCGACCCACCCCATCCAAACCCAGGAGGCCGTCCAACTCCCAACACAGAGGGAACTCCCCTACCCCTTCCTATCCTCCAT